TAGGACGCCAAGCATTAGTGCATATAAAATGCCGAGCAGACATTCAAAACACCAGGCGCAGTTCTTCAAGATGACCTCTGCCTACCGCTGTCTGCTAGCACTGAAGTGACTAAACACCAGGACAGACTTGGCAAAGAATCAAAGCTCACAACAATCCCAACATCAGTTGAGAACTAACTTCCAAATTCCTGTCTCCGTCACCTCCCACTCCCAACCTGGGCCCCAAGTATCAGTCCATCCAACCCCCCTGCAGATAAAGGCCCTGACATGGAAAGTGGGAACTGCCACAGTGAATGAGGGCATGAGACAGCCTGTCCCAGCCAAGCTAGGACTGCATGGACCTCACACTCAGAACTGGGGATGTGCTTGTCTGCGTTCCCAACCAGCTGCTCGGGGGCAGAGACCATGGCTGCCCCCACATCTCCCTGGCTCTCTGAGGTGCTGGAGGCTGAAGTCTGCCAGGGAGTTGGGCTGGGGTAACTCAGGCTGGCTTTCCTTCTTTTCCATCCCTTTGACCAGACTTACTCATGAAATCTATGCCAAGGACTGAACTCTGATACATTCCCACATAACACCCCTCACCCCCAGGCAGCCCATTCATTCTCTGCTGAAACCTGGACCCAATTACACAGGAACTGCAGAAAAGACAAGGAAATGGGGGCAGATGCGGTCAGGGTATCAGAGGGCATTCCCTTAGACCACTCTCTCCCCTCTAACACCTGCCCTGCCCTAACATACCTATCAAAACCAGGGTCTTAACACCTCACTGGACACTCAGCCCTGGTACGTGGGCTCTCACCACTTATGCCTGCTCCTTCATAGTAGCCACCTTTCTATAACTTGGGGCACAAGTGTCTTGTGGGGTGCTCCTGGGAGCACTGAGGGAATGAGCCCCGCTGCTGGTGTGGATGGTGATGGGGAGCTTTGGAAACAACTTCAGACCCACGCTTACTAGGATTGTGCCCGCTGCCCAGTGAACAGATGTGGGGTTACTCCCTCATCCGGAAATGCAGATCCCATAAGCCTGCAAGGGTTAACTCAAAGTTCAGAGCACACACTAGCTCAGCACTTACTTGCTAAACGTGAGTTTCCTCCCTGCTGTCCAACACCCCACCCCAGCCCTTCTCCATGGCTCAGCTTTCAGGATGTCAGACAGACTTCTTCAGGCACGGAGGGCCGGCTGCCCTCCTGAGCTGGCAGACTCCTCCTCAGGCCCGCAATTGTGGGAGCCCCAAACCCAGGCCTCCAGTTCATTCCATCACAGAGGGATTCCCTCCCATCAGGGGAGCCCGGGCCTAACCAATGAACCTTACTGACAAAGCAACAGGCTGACGGTTGGTTGAAACGTTTCATTTGTACTGTCCACGCGGACACTGTGCCGAAGGGGTGTCAGCCCCTGAGAGCACCCCTCCTCCCCCCGTGAGGAGGATCGGGAGAGCGAACAGTCAGCGCGGGAAGGGAGAAAAGAAAGAGCTGTGTACGAGACCTCGGACCATTTCTCTTCCACTAACAGGAGGGGCGGTTGAGGGGTGAAGGCAATGAAGGAAGGGGCGATGTGACTACACCCACAGCATGTCCCCTTTGGCTCTGTGCTCAGGATGCTGGCTGGTGAGGGCCTCAGAGAGAAGCTGACAGCCAGGAGAAGCTGACAGCCAGGAGAAGCTGACAGCCAGAAGCTGACATTCAGAGGTTGGACAGCAGCGTCCTTATTGCTTCCTGTGGGAGGTGAGGCCTCCCAGCTCCCTAAGGCAGGGAACCAGTCCCATCAGGCAGGAGGCGGGACACACACACACACACACACACACACACACACACACACACACCCCTCCTCTGGCAGAGGCATCAGGAGGGCTGCAGTGAGCTGGCCGTCCTCATCCCTGCTGAGGCCACCGAGTCCACCCCCTCACCCCCAGGTGAACACTCTCTGTCTGCTGCTCAGAGTCCTGCCCTGCTTGGGAGAAGCTGACGCTGGACTTGAGTCTCCTGTCCTGACGCAAGGTGCATGCATTTGGGAGGCAGGCAGGTAGGGGAAAGGGACACAGTGACATGTGGAGCCTTACGATTTTCTCCTAGGGAGTGAGCAAGAGAGAGGAGAAACCAAGGTGGCGGCGTACGTAAACTAAGTTGCTGCCTCGCACAACAATTTCAAAACTACAACTAAAAGACAAAACGTCTATCACCCAGAACCACAGGAAAACTGGCTGAATGGAAGTCATACAACTAGAAGGAAAGAGAAAGGAGCACAAGCGCTGAAAAGCTGAGGTTCGAAGGCACGCGAATCAGGCTGGTGGTGGATGACTCTGCACCCGGCTTTTTTTCAACCCGAAGGGAAAGAAGCCCCTGATCACTTTGAAAGCCAGTTTCTGGGGTCACGCGGGGGACCCAGACACCTACAGAGAGAAGCTGGTCTGTCAGCCATCGGGTCAGAAAGTGAGGGTGAGTTTTTTGCAGAGGTGTGCGTAGCAATCATTGTTTACTGCACTGGAGTGCGGGGACATGGGGACTTGGAAGCGCGGAAAGGCAGAGACAGCTGACGGCAGCCATGGCAGTTTGCAATGCCCCAGCCTAGTGACACCAAGACCCACCCCGCCCTGAGACCCCACCCCTCACATTCTACAACCCACCCAGGCTCCATACAGCGGCTTTTGCATATAAATGGCCTGCCCTGTGGCAGCTTAAGGAAATAAATTGCATCCCCAGACTGCTCCAAAACCGCCAAATCCCAAGCAAAGAGGAGAAAACTGAAGTTCTTTCTGCAGCTCCTACAGGGTGCCCTACATCCTATTGGAGATCCAGAAACTAGTGTATCTAGTGGTCTGTGTGTGACAACACCAGATTTCAACTACTCTCATGAGGGACACATTTAAGAGGCAGACTCAGTGAGCACCAAAGCCCCACTGGAACAAGTCCTGCCCCATAAACGTGTCTTCCGCTATGGACCCAACGGGTCCTCACAGCCAATTGGCCTGGAGGTCAATTCCTCCCAATGATACCAACAATCAAGACTTAACTAGCCAGTTTGGCTCAGTGGATAGAGCATTGGCCTGCAGACTGAAAGGTCCCAGGTTCGATTTCGGTCAAGGGCATATACCTTGGTTGCAGGCACATCCCCAGTAGGAGGTGTGCAAGAGGCAGATGATCGATGATTCTCTCTCATCCATGTTTCTAACTCTCTGTCCCTTTCTTCCTCTCTGTAAAAAATCATTAAAAAAAAAAAAAAAAAAAAAAAGACAACTACAAGTCTGTACAGTCCACAAAGGTGCACCAAAAATAGGACACCCAGCACACAAAGCTACCCTACCAACTCAGGGAAGAAGCAAAAATGCCAAGACAAGGAAACAGATCTCAAACAAAAGAAATGGAAAACAAACAAAAATGGACATAGAGTTCAAAACCACGGTTATAAGGTTTTTCAAGAATTTCCTAGAAAAGGCCGATTAATTTAATGAGATCGTAGAGGATATGAAAAAGAAATTAAACCAACTAGAAATTAAACATATACTGACTGAAATAAAAAATATTCTACAGAGACCCAACAGCAGACTAGAGGAACACAAGAATCAAGTCAAAGATTTGGAATGCAAAGAGGCGAAGGACACTCCTCTGCAGAAGCAAGAAAAGAGAATCCAGAAAGTTGAAGATAGTGTAAGAAGCCTCTGGGACAACTTCAAGTGAACCAACATCAGAATTATGGGGGTGCCAGAAGAAGAGAGAGAGCAAGACACTGAAAACCTATTTGAAGAAATAATGACAGGAAACTTCCCCCACCTGGTGAAAGAAATAGACTTACAAGTCCAGGAAGCACACAGAACCCCAAACAAAAGGAATCCAAAGAGGACCACACCAAGACACATCATAATTAAAATGCCAAGAGCAAAAGATAAAGAAAGAATCTTACAAGCAGCAAGAGAAAAAGTTACCTACAAGGAAGCACCCATACGATTATCAGCAGATTCCTCAACAGAAACTATGCAGGCCTGACAGGAGTGGCAAGGAATATTCAAAATGATGAACAGCAAGAACCTACAACCAAGATTACTCTACCAGCAAAGCTATCATTCAGAATTGAAGGGCAGATAAAGAGCTTCACAAATAAGAAAAAGCTAAAGGAGTTCATCACCACCAAACCAGTATTACCATATATGAAATGCTGAAAGGTGTTCTTTAAAAAGAGGAAAAAGAAGAAAAAAGTAAAGATAAAAATTATAAACAACAAATGCCTATCTATCAACAAGTGAATCTAAAAACCAAGTGAATCAAAAATCTGAGGAACAGAATAAACTGGTGAATATAATAGAATCAGGGGCATAGAATGGGAGTGGATTGATAATTCTTGGGGTTAAAGGGGTGTCTGTGTAGGGGGTATGGGAAGAGACTGGACAAAAATCATACACCTATGGATGAGGACAGTGGGAGGGGGGGTGGCGAGAGGAGGGGTGGTAAGGGCAGAGGGTGGGGTGGGGTGGGGACCGGGTGGAGGGGAGCTATGGGGGGGGGGGGGCGCGGAGGCGAAACAATTATAATAATCTGAATAAAGATTTATTAGATTTTTTAAAAAGAAAAGAAAAAAAAAGGAAGAGAGACTCAATCTCCCCATAGGCAGCTCCATGAGGCGTGCGTCACACTGCCCCCTGAGTCATTTAGGGCTCAAGTCCACAAGAATCAGCAAGTCACCAGGAAGGACCGGGAGACACAGGAGCACGAGCTGAGATCACTGGCTTCGGAGCTTGAGCGAAGAGGTGCTCAGTGACACAGCGGGCTCCGGGGAGGGAGGCCGTGCCAGTCAGTACACACACCCAGGCTGGGCTTTGATTCTCGTGTGCTGGGAAGAGTTCCCTCTCAGGTTGGAGGTGTGAGGTCTGGACAGCACCCCCCTCCCTCCCTCAGTCATACGTGGAGATAACAGCTACCCCTCGCATCCCTACTCTTCTAAGGCCTTAAGATAAGAACCCCGAAAGGGGAGAGCTTCCTTTCATGTGGAACCGTGGGGCTTCAGACAGTCAGCTATTGTACAAGGGAATCACCCGGGTGATCGCCTGCCTGCAGATGGGGCACTTCTTGGGCTCTGGCAAAGCCTGGTAGCAGCTGGTGCAGGCACACACGTGCCCACACTCCAGGAACACGCACGACTTGAAGTTGCTCAGACACACGACACAGGTGCTCTTCAGGCTCTCCCGGTCCTCGGGCCTGGCTCGGCTCAGCAGCTGGGCCTCGTGCTCCCGGAACTCCTTCTCCATCTGCTCGAGGCGCAGGCGCTCCTGCCACTGCAGATACTGCTTTCGGAGGATGAAGAAGAGGGCCACGCACGTGGCAAAGCCAAATGCCAGCGTCAGGACCTTCCAGAGCCTGGCGCTCCACTCCTGCTTCTGCAGCAGGCTGTCAAAATCCTGGCTGCTCAGATAGTACTGCATGCCCTGCTTGGGGGGCTGCAGGCGGATGGAGTTGTTGTCCAGGACCAGTTCGCCCACCCCTGTGAGCGTGGCCCCAACCCTCAGCATCTCCTCGGTCTCCTGGACGCCCTTGGGCCGCTCCCCGCTGATGTAGTGGCCGATGGTGTCAGCTAAGGACTGGATGGAGGGGTGGAACTTCTCATACACAGTCTCCAGGCCCAGATCCACGGAGTCCAGAGGCTTCAGCACTCGCACGGCCACACCCCGGGCCCCCTGGTGGGGGACCAGGTCAAAGGGCACCGTGTTGGTCCTCTGGTGAATGATCTTTGAATAGTCATTCCTAAAACAATAAGAGAACTCAAGATAAAATAATGGACAAGCAAACACCTCATGCCCAGAAGAGATGGAGATCACATACATGCCAGAAGGACAGGGTAAAATCTGACACGGCTAGAAGGGGATAACAGACATCAATATTATCCAAGTGCCTCAATTTGTTAGGTTCTCAGAACTACCAGTGGGCAACAAATACCATTTATTTCCTTTAGCCACTTTTAATTCTTTAAAAAATTCAAAACAGAACTACCAGCTGATCCAGCAATCTCACTTTTGGGTACTGAATTGAAATCAGGGTCTTGAAGAGAGATCTACATGCCCATGCTCACTGCAGCATTGTTCACGACAGCCAAACAGGGAGGCAGCCTACATGTCCATCGACAGATGCGTGGATAAAGAAGGCCACACACACACACACAAACACAGAGGATTATTCAGCATAAAAAGAAGGAAATCCTACCTACTGGCGTGGCTCTAGTGGTTGAGCCTAGACCTGTGGACTGGGAGGTCGCAGTCCAATTCCTGGGGAGGGCACATGCCCGGGTGTGGGATCGACCCCCAGTGGGGGCATGCAGGAGGCAGCCAATTGGTGATTCTCTCTCATCACTGATGTTTCCCTCTCTCTCTCTTCCTCTCCTTTTCTCTCTGAGATCAATAAAAAATATTTTTTTTAAGTTTGTTATAATAACACTTGTGAAGTGTTCTTATTATACTAAAAAATAATAATAATAAAATACAAAACAAAAACCCACTAGGGTCATTTTGGAAAATGATACTCCATTTAAAAGCAAAATAATCCACAAAATCATTTAAATAAATACTGACATCATTAATCCAAACCATACGTGAGTAGTTCCAAACTTTGGTGGTCAATCAACAAATTCCCCTGTCCTGGAGACACTAATCGGGCAGCTCTGGAACAGGGCCCAGGAAGCTACATTTGAACAAGATGCCTAGGTGACTCTAAGTTAAGAGGTCCTCAGACCACACACAGAATATTAACAACGTTAAGAAACTGGCCTAGTCGAAACCGGTTTGGCTCAGTGGATAGAGCGTCGGCCTGAGGACTGAAAAGGCCCAGGTTCGATTCCGGTCAAGGGCATATACCTTGGTTGCAGGCACATCCCCAGTAGGGGGTGTACAGGAGGCAGCTGGTCAATATTCCTCTCTCATCGATGTTTCTAGCTCTCTATCCCTCTCCCTTCCTCTCTGTAAAAAAAAAAAAAAAAAAAAAAAATCAATAAAATATATATTTTTTAAAAAGAAAAAGGAAAAAGAAACTGGCCTACACCCTGTCTCAGCCAGCAGAGAAAGGCTGGAGAAAGGCTACGTACCAGAGGTGGGTGGTTCGGTTCCACACCATCTTGTGCTCCTGAACTGTCAGCCGCTGAATCACCCCCTTGCAATTCTCCACAAACTGGCTGTTGAGCGTTTCCTTAACAGACCGCACAGCTCCTAAATGGAAACCAATTATTTTATTTCCAAAGCATTGCTATGTCCTTCCCTTTAAGGTCATTTAAATTTTGTTTTTAGTTGGATTCATTTCACTAATCAAAATGATGACTATGTGATCTGCCGGACGCAGCCCCTTGTCCTCATTAACAGAGAGATGTGGACAGGGAACCCGGAAGGCTGGTCAACCTTAAATGCTCTGGAAGGTCAGAGCTAATCACTCACTGTTTAGATGAGACTTGGTAGCTGAAGCAGCCTCCACCCATTAGTCTTATGTAAATTATTGCTGATTGGCTATTATTGGAATCGCCTGCCTAAAGGCTATGGGTGTATCCCATGATCTTAATAAAAGGGACAGCAAGGCCAGAAAAGGGGGGGGGGGGGAGGGTAGTCCTCCCCCTAGAGGTGGGCTCCCACGTGGCCTCCAATATCCCCAAATTAATACTTTTCTAGTCTCTTTCATTTGTGTGCAACCTCCTTCAGAAACCTGAACCCTGAACCATGTGGGATGTGAAAGGGGTTCCCACAGGGATCAACCTAAGTTATGCTTTGTGGGTCCTCTTCCAAGCACTCCAGCAACCCTGTAAGGTAGGCATTGTCTTAGCGATGGACAACAGAGGTTCAGAAAGGCGAGGCAATTTCCCCAAGCTCACACTGCAATAATCCAGGTCTTTCTGAGCCCCAAGTCCAAGTTCTGGACTACTGCCCCAAGGATACACAGCCAAGAACAAGCTTTTAGAAGAGGAAGTTACTTTTCATTTTACCAAACAAACATACCTTCAATGACAGCATAAGGCACACATTTTCCCGGAGCTTCCGAAAGGACACTCTTTAAGTCTTTCCCCAAGTTGATTCTTTTCGCTCCCTAAAGGCAAACAACATATTAAACTGACTACTGAATACTAACGTGATCAATCAGACTGAAAGGGCAAAAAAAGACGATGATTCACTGTTTTCATGTTGAAAGGAGGAGGAAATCAGGCAGGAAGAAGACTATAGGAGATTCAGACTCCAAAACTGTGTCTGAGAAGTTTCAACATACAAACAGGCAAGGGGCACTGCCTCCCCCTGCCATCTGCAGAATGGGGTGTCATTAAACATATGTAATCAATAAACATATTACAATATATATATTGTAATATGTTTATCGCCTTTAGGCAGGCGATTCCAATAATAGCCAATCAGCAATAGCCATAGCCTTTAGGCAGGCGATTCCAATAATAGCCAATCAGCAATAATTTACATAAGACTATATATATTGTAATATGTTTATTGATTTATTTAGAGAAGAGAGGGGGATAGACAGAAACATCGATGAGAAATGTCGTAAGCTGCTGCCGGAAACGGAACATTGTCTCACTAATAGGAATATGTGGAAGGCTTGTCAACCTTGAAGCTCTGAAAGGTCAGAGCCAAACACTCCCTGTCTAATTGAGACAATGGTAACTGAGGCAACTTCCCTGTTGTGGAGCCAACCCTGGAGTCAAAATAAGACCACAGGAGGCTGCTAATTGATAAAAAGATTTAAAAAAAAAAAAAAAAAAAAAAAAAAAACAGGCAAGAATTTATTGAACTGGCCAGGACGGCCACACACAGGTGAAGTCCACACTCAGGACCGTACCGCGCTGTTCCAGGTGTAGGCAGTCCTTTTAAAGGTCTAAACCACAAAATTTCCCTTTGTTCTAAATTCTAAATGCTGCGAACAGCCCACAGGGTCATTCCCAGCCACGTCCTGCTCGATGTTGGAATGTGGACCTATCTTGTGAAAGCAGATACTACAGAAGCAGAGCTGAGCTGTTAATCTCTAAAGGTTATCTGCAGTTTCAATTCCTGGAGCTACTGAGTCAATGGGAATCAATCTCCTGTGGCTCTGGTCCACAGGCACAGGAAAACTGCCTTAGCCTCTAGGTCTCAATCTGGAAGCTGAGGTAACTACCCTATTGTTTAAGCAAGTGAGTGAGTGCAGAAACCAGAATAGCAGGGTTAAAATTCAAACAGTAGTTTTTACCTAAGTATGGTAGCTACTATACTTCATTCCCCACCAAATAATCATGTAAATCCTTACTGATAAGATAATCTGCCTGTTACTGGAATTACCTGCCTAAGGGCTATGGGTATATCCCATAGTCTCAATAAAAGGGATAGCAAGGCCAAAGCAAGGCGGCCTGGCCCCCAATATTTCCAAATTAAATCTTTTTCTAGTCTCTTTCATTTGTGTGAAGCATTCTCCAGAACCTGAACCCTGAACCTCGCAGGATGTGAAAGGAGCTCCCACATCTAAAAGTAACTAAGGCTTGGTTGCAGCCTACCCGCAGGTTAATTTCTCCATCATATGCCTCCTACACAGACCCTATTGGGGATCTAGCCTACAACCCAAGCATGTGCCCTGACGGGGAAATGAACCATGACCTCTTAGTTCCTGGGTCGATGCTCAACCACTGAGCCACACCAGCCGGGCATATCCTTTCTCCAGTTAATGGAAATAAACACTCCTTTTCATCTTCGTTTTTAAATGAAACGTATGAACCAATTTGTATGCCATAGGCTGAATAGATGTGAATCTTCTCTTGATAAAAGCATCTAAACAAGTGCCCAGTACATGGTCGGGGCCAGGACACCGGCAGGCATGGTCATCGCCAGGCCTTTATGAACTCACGCCCTGCATTGTACACCATCACAAAGGGGTGCCTTTGCTGTACAGGCACGGATCTGTTACCTGGTGCCAAGCACTGTTCTATTTCCAGTTTGTCTTCTTCCCTTTCACAATCAGGTGCACCGAGCGACATCTGCTGCTGTCTTCCTCTGACAACCACTAGCTCTCCCACCCCTTCCAATTCAGTTTCCCACCTGCTGTGCTTGGGAACTGTTCTTTCAAAACGATGAAAAAAGTTATCAAGTCCATAAACATTTCCTGAGCATCTATGTGCCAGGCACAGGCTGCTAGGGATTCCGGGATGAATGGAGGGCAGTTTCCACTTCCACAGTATTCCCATCAACAAATCTTAAGGATGCCAGATAAGTTACCTCTAAAGAGGAGATGAAATACTGCACACATGTTAAGGTCACTCTTAAGATGAAGCTACTGCTACACAGTAAATGAGCAAGGTCAACAAACACTTATTAACCACCTACACTGTGAAGAAAAATTTTTAAATAATAAGCCGTAACAGCTAGCACAATGTTTTCTTGTTTTGTTTGTCTTTACTGGACTATTAGACTCTAGGAAAGTTAGGGCACTCAAAATGTATTTGCTGAATACATAAGCACTTACTACATATGCTGTAGCACTTTGCTAAGCACTTTAAATGTATAAATCCATTTAATGCATACATCATCCTTATATAGTAGGCATTATTATCCTCAATTACAGATAAGAAAACTGAGGCTCAGAGAGGTGAAGTAACTTATCCCAAGTCACACAGCTGATAAAATATCCACCAGGGGATGGCCAGTTAGAATTTTTTTTTAAGGGCTGGAAAAGGAATATGGTCAGTAAGACGTGGGATTGAATCAAGCTTCAATGCATCTACTGTGATTGAACAACTTAATTTATCTAAGTCTTGGTTTTCAAAAATGTGAAAGATGGGGAGCATGATCTTACCGAATTTTTATGTGGATTATATGAACCTTAAGATGTAAAGAATCTAGCCCAGAGGCTGGCACATAGTAGGCATACAATAAACATGCATTCCTATCACTATAAGAAATACACAGCGATAACCTGATATAGAAGTCCAGTAATCTGATCAAAAAAATAGAATCTGAGCCGGAACTGGTTTGGCTCAGTGGTAGAGCGTCGGTCTGCGGACTGAAAGGTCCTGGGTTCGATTCCGGTCAAGGGGCATGTACCTTGGTTGCGGGCGTATCCCCAGTAGGGGGTGTGCAAGAGGCAGCTGATTGATGATTCTCATCGATGTTTCTAACTCTCCCTTCCGCTCTGTAAAAAATCAATAAAATATAATAAAAAAAAATAGAATCTGAAATATGAGGAGTCCCAAATCTTCTTACAAGGGGCCATTTCCATCCTCATTTAGGAACTAATTGGCAAAGTTTTTTGTTTGTTTTTGTGTGATTTTAAATTATTATCTGTGTACATATCTTACCATTGCACCCCCCCTCCCTACATACCCTCCCTTCCCAGTTTTGTGTCCATTGATTGTACTTATGTGCATGTATACAAGTCCTTCGGTTGATCTATTATCTCCCCCAGATCTCCCTACCCTCCCCGCTGTAATTTGACAGTCTGCTTGTTGCTTTACTGTATCTATATCTATCTTTTGGTTCATCAGTTTATAATGTTCTTTATTATCCATAAATGAGTGGGGTCATGTGGTGTGTCTCTTTCATTGACTGGCTTATTTCACTCATAATTGGCAAAGCTTTTAAGGTCATCCAAAGAATCCCCCAGCAGGTCCGCCTGATGCAACCTGATTTCTGAGCCTGGAAGTGAAGTATCAGTTACACTCAGAGCCCGTCACTTCCGAAGTAACTTGGTTAATCAGGGGAAGAACAGGGCAGCTGGAATTCCCCTAAGAACCCCATTCACACCCCAGATTCAACTGTTTGGGAACTTGGTTCTTTCCAGACAGATTCCAAAACTCCTCTCACAGAAGAGATTTCACACATTTGTTTCTAAACCAATTAACATTATCAGAAAACAATCGGATAACGAAGTTGGTGGGTTTAGGAACCCATCTTTGCAATAATAAATGTCCATTTAAACCCTACCGGTTGTAGTGTAAGAATGTCGGCCGAAACGAATCCACGTTTATTGAGCATTTAATCAAGTACTGAATCAGAAGTAAGATAAGGGCCCAGTTTCCAATCTAATGGGGTCCATCTCTTCCTCGTGGGCCATTCACCATAAAGCAATGTCCTCAATCAGGAAAAAAAAAAAAAAAAAAATCCCACACGTGGAACTAAAATATCTTAAGTTTCCGTTTCAACCTGACTAACTTGTAAGACCTTTCCTGATTTGCAATCTGGAGGCAATTTTCACTTTTATTTCAAAAGTTACTGAATAGGAAAAAAAAATAAGATAAAATGTCTTATGTAAGCTGTAAAGTGCAGCTGGAGAGGGTTAGTTTTTAAGTAACTTAAGATATTAAAAGAGGAAGCGTCTGGAGAAGCAAAGAGTTTAGTAGCTACAGTGTCTGCGCTGGCTGTTCCCTCTGCCTGAACCGCGCTTCCCCCAAGACATCTGCAGGTCCCCCGCCTTCCTGGCTCTGTTCAAATGCCACCTTATTGAAAATAGCACACCTCCGTTTCTCCAGCAACACATCCTCCCTTCTCCCTGGAGTATCTAGCCCCACCTGGTACACCACCCGACTTGTTTGTCCCTGGTCTGGCTTGGCGGTAGTAGAATGGAATCTCCACGAGGGCAGGGGCTTTTGTCTGTTCTACCCAAGCGATATCCCCCAGAGCCTGCAGCTTAGATGGTCAATACATATTTGGATCGAGCCGTGAAGTCAAGATTCCTTCTGCACCTCGGGAGGGGCTTGGCGGAAAGAGAGTCGTGAAGCAGATATCACAATACCCCAATTCTGGTCCCAGGTCCTCCTCCACTTCCTGCCCAGGGGACACTCTCCTGGGCCCAGTTCCTCTTTCTGGGTCGTTTCCGACGGTGGCCTCGCCCGAGGCGAACTGGGGGCTCCCCATTCCCGGAGCCGGACACACACCGGCTGCGGACCGCACTGACCTTGAGATCCTGGGCGACCTGGGCCTTGTGCCGGTACACGGAGTACAGGCAGGCGGTGACCACGGAGCTGGTGCCCAGGAGGAGGAACTGGCCCAGCGAGGGCCCCCCGCCGTTCTCCATGGCCGCGCCGCGCCCCGAGGGCAGGAGGGGACCGCGAGCTCCGGCCCCGCCGCGACCCCCGCCCGGAAGCGCTCCCTCCGCCTCGCTCCGCCCGGGACCGCAGCCCCCTCGGCCCGGGGATCTTTCCCGGAAACACTTGTGTGGTCGCCAAGCGGTGTCGTCATCCCACGCCGGAAGTGGGGGCGGGGAAAGAGCAGACCGGAAGGTGGCGTTGCCGGGGTGACGGCCTCGCAGCCAGGGCGTCCCCAGGGGCGGGGCTTCCGGAGCGCCGGGCACGCGGAGTGTTTGGCGGAAGCTGAGCCAGGGGTGTCGTTTCTCCCAGATCCCAATCAATAGTGTTCCCAATCTCAGTCCCATTGATGTCTGAGGCTGTTTGGGGCTGTTTAATGTTGTTTGACATCTCCACCATCAGATTAGAAGGAAAGAAGAGGATGGGTAATAAGCATTTTATGAAAATTACACATTTAAGCTTCTGGGCAACCTTTGAGACTTGGGTTTTATTCTTCTACTTTACAGATGAGAGAATTAAGTATGATAGCAACCATACTTCGGTAAAAACTGCTGTTTGAATTGTAACCCTGCTATTCTGGCTTCTGCACTCACTCACTTGCTTAAACAATAGGTAGTTATCTCAGCTTCCAGATTGAGACCTGGAAGCTAAGGCAATTTTCCTGTGCCTGTGGACCAGGACCGCTGGAGATTTGATTCCCACTGACTCAGTAGCTCCAGGAGTTGAAACTGCAGATAAGCTTTAGAGATTAAGTTTGCTCAGTTCTACTTCTGTAGTATCCGCTTTTGCAAGATAGGTCCACATTCCAACGTCCAGCAGATGTGGCTGGGAATGACCCGGCAGGCTGCTCCCGGCAGGCTGCTCCCAGCATCTAGAATTTAGTATTTAGAACAAAGGGAAATTTTGTGGTTTAGACTTTTAAAGGGACTGCCTACACCTGGAACGGCATGGTCGTGAGTGTGGACTCCACCTGCCTGTAGTGCTCTCACGGCCGTCCTGGCCAGTTCAATAAATCATTACCTGCTTTTTTAATCAATTAGCAGCCTCTGGTGGTCTTATTTTTGATTCCAGGGTTCGACCCCACAACAAGAACAGGCCTAAGAGATTAGGGCAGTGTTTGGCAAACTTGTTCATCAACAGAGCCAAAATATCAACAGTACAATTGAAAAATTTCTTTTGAGAGCCAAATTTTTTAAACTTAAACTTCTTCTAATGCCACTTATTCAAAATAGACTCTCCCAGACCGTGGTATTTTGTGGAAGAGTTCGATTCGGTCAAGGGCATGTATGTACCTTGGTTGCGGGCACATCCCCAGTTGGGGGTGTGCAAGAGGCAGCTGATCGATGACTCTCTCATCGATGTTTCTAACTATCTCTCTCCCTTCTTCTCTGTAAAAAAAATCAATAAAATATATATTAAATAAATAAATGAATGAATGAATAAGGGGAAGAGCATGCCAGTCACTCCATAACCAACAATTACAAGGGCCTCCTGCATCCCAGCTACGGGAGTAGCACTATACTGTTAAATAGCCAGGCTCTGCTCTCTGGATGTTTAGTGTTTTGTGAAGAAGCAGACAGAAGCAGGGAATCTACTCTCCCAGGCCCAGTGAAATTAGCGCAAGCAAGAGGGGTGCAGTTTACTTTCCTCCCAAGGGAAGAGATTTTAGTTCTGTGAACAGGTGGGGGTCATCTCCTACCCTGAACCTGACATGTTCCTCCGACTCAAAGGTATACTCAATGACAGCCAATTTATTTTTTGTTGTTGTTTGTTTGTTTTAAATATTTTTATTGATTTCAGAGAGAAATGGAGAGGAAGAGAGAGATAGAAACATCAATGATGGCCAAAACCGGTTTGGCTCAATGGATAGAGCTTCGGTCTGCGGACTGAAAGGTCCCAGGTTCGATTCCTGTCAAGGGCATGTACATTGGTTGCGGGCACATCCCCAGTGAGGGGTGTGCAAGAGGCAGCTGGTCCAATGCCATCAAGGCAGAGTGCTCCATCCGACTGCCTAAGGCCGCCAAGACTCCACTGAAGATTCACCCTCTGGTGCGGCTGCCCCTAGCAACTATCGTCAAGGATCTGGTGGCCCAGGCACCTCTGAAACCAAAAACACCTCGGGGTACCAAGACACCGATCAACAGAAACCAGCTGACCCAGAGCCGGGCCCTGGGGGACATCATGGTGAAACGGGCCTATGAGACGATGGCAGGGGCAGGGGTTCCCTTCTCTGCCAATGGACGGCCTCTGGCTTCAGGGATTCACTCGAGCTCCCAGCCAGCAGCCAAGCGTCAGAAACTAAACCCCGCTGATGCCCCCAATCCTATGATGTTTGTGGCCACAAAAGACACCAGGGCCCTTTGGAAAGCTCTGACTCACCTGGAGATGCGGCGAGCTGCCTGCAGGCCCAACTTGCCCCTGAAGGTGAAGCCACCGCTGATAGCAGTGAGGCCCCCAGTTTCTCTGCCTGCACCCTCACATCCTGCCAGCACCAATGAGCCCATTGTCCTGGAGGACTGAACTTCTGGGGGAGGGAGGGGGGCTGGAAGCTAGAGGATGGGTGCCCAGTTCAACCAGGTTCCCTTCTCTTTAGTGTCGGAGGGAGAAAGGAAGGGAGGGAGGGAAGGAGGGAGCTGGTGTGTGTCCTGGAGGGAGTGGGCGCCCTCTGGTGTCACCACCTCAGGGCTTGGCTCCTTCCCTTGCTGCCCCCGCCTGGGGAGGGAAGGCGGACTGCAGGCTGGGCCCCTACTGGGGCCCGGCCTCTTGGGAATAGGACCCACAACTGTCCTGGACAGTTTTAGGGGGAGGGTTTTTTAATTTTTTAAAAATTTTGCCTCCCTTTGTGAAAGGGGACGGAAGGGGAAGAGGAAACAGACACCTGGTTGGGGGCGGGGACGTGCACTGCCATGTCTATTCTTTTTCTTTTTCCTAATTGGGGCTTTCTCTTCCTGTCCGGTGTCCGGACTTTGCTAAATAGTTTGAGGCCCCTAAGCTGGCATCAAACCCAGCCCATGCTCACTCTCTCCTCCCCTCCCTTTGTCCCCTCCGCCTTTTGTTCACCAATTCTCAGAAATAAAGACCTTTTTCCATTTAAAAAAAAAAAAAAGAGGCAGCTGGTCGATTTTTCTCTCTCATCGACGTTCTAGCTATCTATCTCTCTCCCTTCCTCTCTGTGGAAAATCAATAAAATATATATTTAAAAAAAGAAAGAAAGAAATATCAATGATGGGGATCAAGCCTGCAACCCAGGCATGTGCCCTGACTGGGAATCGAACCCAGGACCTCTTGGCCCATGGGATGACGCTCAATCCACTGAGCCACCACAGCTGGGCAATGGCAGCCAATTTTGGAAACTGGTCTGGAAATCAGAATTCCACTGGGGAAAAATGGAAATTAAATTCTGTAATCTCGATTTTCCCAGGAAGCTGTCAAGGCTGCAGTGGATACTATTAGCCACAAGGAGGCGCAATGAGCACAGGATGCCAAAGGCAAAAATAAGAGGGAGGGAGAGTGAAGGAGATAAAGGAATGGCGGGTGAGGGAGGGTCTGGAGATTTAAAAGGAGCACTAAAGCTAACTGTGGATCCACGCTGGGCTGTATCTAGGGGCCCAGTTCATCTCAGTCCTGCTATTTGCCAGCAGGCCCTGTGACCATCACCTCTGTGATGTGCAGGGACCCGCCCCTCCCCTTAGTTATTGACAGCACCTGCTGGTCCATGGAAGGCACCTGGCACCCTGGTACTGGGAAAGGATGGTTCAGGACAGGCTTGGAGGTCAGGCGCCCTGAGTCCTCTATCAGCTCTGCCATTTAGCCATGTGACCTCTGACAAGTCCAGGCACCTTCCTGAATTTCAGCTTCCCGTCTGTATTCCAGCTGGGATTCAATTGAAGCTACAGCTCCTCCCAGGTACTGGGCAAAGCACTTGACTGGTCTGAGCTTTCGTTTTCTCAGGCAGAGAAAGGGGTAATATCCCTGTTTCTGCTGTTAACCCGGAGAAGCTGGGATGTGGGTAGGTATGTTAGGAATTCTCCTTTTATTATTCGTGTTCTTGGTTTGCAAAACGTGAGCAAGGGCATGGATGAATTTGAACAATTGTTCTTAAACCAATTCAACACCATGTGGTAGGTAATGTTGTAATTTCTTTTAAGTTTATTGTAGTCACAAGGTAAGTAAAAGTTTCAAGACAAAACTATAGCTGAATGGCCATAATAAGAGACACAGAATTTCAGAGGAGAAAAAACGCATTGCCATAGGCTTCTGCAGTTAGGAAATAACAATGGTAACATTTACTGAACACCTACTATGTGCCAGGCACTAAGCCAAGCATTTTATATACAGAATCATACATCTTTTATTTAAAGCAACTTCAGCAATCTTTCTACCACACATGTAGGTTCCCTCTCCCCTGCTAAATTCTATGCTATTAGAGTGCAGCAGTTAGTAAGGCAGGTACAACTTGAATGAGTCCAGGCGTTGTACCTGCCTTGTTAACTGCTGCATTCTCATATTTAGCCCAGTGCCTGGTATATAATAGGTGCTCAATAAATATTTGTTGACTGACTGAATGAATGGATCAACAGCCCTATTCTTCTGCGTTGACTCAGAGAGGGACATGAGTCTTTGCCTAAACAATTCTCTTGGTGGAGAACTCACTACCTGACAAAGAGTCTGCTGTCAACTATCTTGTATCCCTGGCACTTCGCCTCCTTGGCCCTGGTCTGCCCCTGAGCCTTTGTCCATCGAGAGGAAAAAGCTGGAGATGTAACCCTTCTGCACATCTCAGTAGCTTCCTTTGAGTTCTGCCAACCAAGAGCCCACCTGACTCTGGTGGAAGGGAAAAAATATAGTGGCTAGAAAAAATGCAAGGTCATTTTTCCTGAAGATGGGAGAGAACTGTCTATGTGCGAGGCAAATGGAATGGAACTTGAGAAAACAGACTGTGGACACTGGAGAGGAAAAGATAAATGTAGGACCCTGTGTGGGACCTTGTGCTGCAGAGAGGTGGACCTTGGCCAGAGACCCAGCCAATTGTGGTGGTCCTGTTCCCATTGTCAGGGATTGGCTTAGGAATGAGCATGTGATCCAGTTCAGGCCAATGAGCTATAGGGGAAGGTCTGCTGAGGAACTTCAGGGAAGTCTCTTAAGAAGCACAAACTCACCGAAACCGGTTTGGCTCAGTGGATAGAGCGTCGGCCTGGGGACTGGAAGGTCCCAGGTTCAATTCCGGCCAAGGGCATGTACTTTGGTTGCAGGCACATCCCCTGTAGAGGGTGTGCAGGAGGCAGCTGGTTGATGATTCTCTCTCATCGATGTTTCTAGCTCTCTATCCTTCATCCTTCCTCTCTGTAAAAAAATCAATGAAATATACATTTAAAAAAAAAAAAAAAAGCACAAACTGGCCTGACTCGGTGGTTGAGAGTTGACCTATGAACCAGGAGATCACAGTTTGATTCCCAGTCAGGGCAGCCAATCAATGCTTCTCTCTCATCATTGATGTTTCTATGTCTCCCTCTCCCTTCCTTTCTAAAATCAATTTTTTAAAAAAATTTTTAAGAAGCACAACTGAAAGAGATAGTCCCTGTTCTGCCTCTAACCAATGTATCTGGACGAGACATAACTGTTGAAGCCATGTTGCTGCTACCAAGACCAATACATAGTCTTGAACTTGTTGTCAATGAGATGATAAATTGCATTGTGTAAGCCCAGTAAATTGGCCATTGGTAAGTACCGCCACCAAGAGCATTCTAACAGATACACAGATAAACACAGAACTGCATTAAGGAGGGCTCTTTCAGTCAAGGGCATGTACCTTGGTTGCAGGCTCCTCCCCGATCCAGACACTGGTCAGGACTCCTGTAGAAGGCAACCAATCGATGCATTTCTCTCACTTCGATGTCTCTCTCTGTCTTTCCCTCTCTCCTCCATTCTCTCTAAAAATCAATGGGAAAATATCATCGGGTGAGGATTAACAAAACAAACAAAAAATAAAGGTGATTTAAATGGTTTTAAAAAAATTTTGTGTCGAAATGTAGCTAATATTTGCTGAGTGCTTTTTCTGTACCAGATCCTTTGTAAGCCTTAGCTAATCAAATCCCTGCGGCCGCCTGTGTCAGAGACAGCTGCTTATACCCCAATATGTATGTGTCCCATCCATGCTCTTTTGGTAATAAAACCTCTTCTTTTCAATGAGCACATCAAACACTGCCACTTCCAAGCTCTCCTTGCAGAGGTACAATCATGGGGCTAAGTTCTAGACAAAGGAGAGGAAAGGGAAGTGTCCCATCAAACTTCCAGGGGATGTTCTTAAAGGGAAATAGGCACATCTGCCTGTGCTCCTTTCTCCCTGCTGGCTGGAATTCCGTCAGCATAGCGGGAGCTCCAGCAGTGACCGTGGATCATGAGGTAGAAGTGAGATGGTGAGAAGGGCAGAGCAACAAGACAAACGGGCCTTGGGTGGCTGTGAAGCACTTCCCGCGCCTTTCATAGAGAAGCGAACGTTTGTCGTTTTAAGCCACAGTCCTTTTGACTTTTTAGTTCTTCCCAACTGTACCTAATCTCAACTGGAATCCCGACTCCCCTGTGCCAGCTATCCCTACCCACTCCTCGGCTTTATTGTAATAATGTGCATGTTTATCATTGGTCTGCCATCTAACATAATAATAGAGTGATATGCAAATTAACCATCACTCCGCCACACAAGCCACGCCCGGCAGCCAATCAGGGTGAGTATGCAAAGTAACTCAACCAAGATGGCAGTTAATTTGCATATCAAGACAGCGTAGAAAGAAACCTGCAGAAGGGAGCAAAGCTGTGGAGAAGCAAGGGGGGCAGTGGAGAAGGGAGGAAAGCAGGTGGGACAGCGGCCACAGCAGGAAGCCCTATTGCAGGAATCTTCCTGCAACAGGCCACTAGTGGAATATAAGCTCACAGGGGCAGAGATTTTCTGTTTTATCTACTTCCACTTCCTCAGCTCTTCAATAGTGCCTGATACATAGCAGATGCTCCATAAATGTTTGTTGAATGGATGAGCTGAAGGACAACCACCCCCTACAGGGAGGTAACATTATGATCTCACTTATGCAGATGCTGAGGCTCAGAGAAGACCACACAAGGAGGAAGTGAGGGGGCCTGGATGTAAAGGGAACCCAGGGAGACTGGCTCTAGAACCCGTGCTCTGACCTGCCACCCAGTGCAGAGAAGCCCCTTGGAATCCCGCTAACTGGGCCCAGACCCTGCCTTCTAAGCAGAAAGGCTGACATTCATGGGGGAAATGTGAGCAGGGGTATAAAGCCAAGAGGGTTCTCTGAGGCTTAGTTACTAACGAGTATTGGGAATGAAAAAAGGAAAACCTCGTGTTTCCTTGATGCTAAGCCACACCATACATTTAACTGGGAGTAAGGTAAGGCAATTAAACACGTCAATACTAGATCCATTGATCGTCAGACACATCCTGATTTCAGAAACATTTTTTTAAACTTTTAATTTTTTTATTTAGGTATTACATATGTGTCCTCATCCCT